ACCCGACGTGTAATGGTCCCCCAATTAGCAGCCGATAACTCGAACTTAACTACTAATATAATACAGGTTTACTTAAGTACGAAAGATTTTTCTAGAAAAAAAAAAAAAATTTCTTTACAATCCGCGATAGGGTGTCTTAAATTAAAATTCTTTGTTGTTGTTGTTGTTGTCGGTATCATTTTCTTCTTCCACGTTTTTTTTTTATACGAAAGGCGGTGGTGGGTAGACGACAGAGACGGGGACTTTACCAGAGGGTGAGAACGGGTTTTCCACCGTCGATGAAAGGGAAAAAAAAAATAAATCGATCCCTCATCGATTTTCGATATAAATAATCACTCACGTTCGATAAAAAATAAATTTCGATTGAAAAGAGAAAAAAAATCTCATCGCGGTTTTCTTAATAATAACAATATAAATAACGATAATAAATAGAACGTAAGGCGAAGCTAATGAAAGAGTGCGTGGCAGAAGAAAAAAAAAAAAAAAAACAATGACCTCTTAAGATAATTCATCAAACTTACGAGAATCACGTATTATAAAAACGGGGGCAGGAGGGGGGTAGAAAACAAGACGAACGACATTAATAACTACTTTCTGTCCAAACTACGTCACGAACTTCCAATAAATATTTATATTACCAATTCGAGTTTATTAATTTATTGAATATAGTTTTCCAGAAGTGTTATTTGAGCAATTTGAGTAAAGGTGTAAGACGTGTGTAATAATTTTTTTTTTTTTTATTATTTTTCATTGCGGCGATTTGTTTTCATACAAACGCACGCACACGCACACTCACGCACACGCACACTCACGCACACGCACACTCACGCACACGCACACTCACGCACACGCACACTCACGCACCTCCCTTCGTAACCGGACGGGTTTACATTTCCTATACTCTCTTCTTAGGCTTCTCTATTTCACGTTTATTTTTTTTTTTCCACTCGTTATTAATAAATTCCCACGGAAGGGGAGGGGTAGAGAGGAATGGGGAGGAAGGGAGGGAGGAGAACCCGCAATTTATTCCCACTCACCGCAAAAGGATAAATGATGATGATGATGATTCCCATCGTCGTCGTCGTCATCGATCGAAACAAACACCGACCAATGTTAATAAATTTTCTTTTTTTTTTAAGGAGATAGGATTTATTGTTTTTATTAATTAAGGGTGTCGTTAGTTCCGCGAAAATTTTATTGGTTGGTTGTTGTTTGTTGTTTGTTGCGGTTGTCGTGATGAAAATAAAAAAATTTTCGAAAGAACGTTAACAATTTTTAGTAATTTTTCGTGCCGATTCTTTTGTCGGTTCGTCGGCGTTTTGAATTTTTTTTTTTTTTTTAGGGGGGAGGGGCGGGATAGAAAGGAATGCGTTTGTTTTAAAGAGAAGGAATTGAGGGAGGTGGACGAGGGGGTTGAAATAATAATTAATCCATTTTTTACGGTTTTTTTTTTTTGAATTATCAAAGGGGTAGTTGAAACCACAATTTCTACGACCCCACAATTTTTGTGTGTGTGTTTGTTTGTTGTCTGTTTTGTAAATATACACCGAAGAGAGAGAGAGAGAGAAAGAGTGAGAGTGAGGGGTTGAAAGCCGTTCACTTGCGAGGGTGACGAGTTGATGAGTGATTGAACGAAGACCTATTAATATTGATTACAGGGGTTGATTTCTGTTATTACGATGGTTTCGTTTAAAAAAACTTTTCATTACTGTTTTTAATTATTATCATTATCGACGCCATCACCATCATCATCATCATCATCATCGTCGACGTCATAATCGTTCGAAATTAAAAATGAAATGTTTTCGAAAAGACGGGAAATTGCGAAAATTAAAAAAAAGCAACAACATGGCGAAGTTTCCTCGAAATGATACGAAATTATTTTTATTTTTAATAAATTTGCAATGAAAGTTTTTTTTGGGGGGACAAGTGAAAGGTATCCCTAAAAATGAAAGCAAAAAAATTTTTTTTGGGGGGTTTAAAAACCTCGGAAAGGGAAAAAAAATTAAATTTTTTATGCCTCCCTTTTCCGTTACATTTTCCTTCCGTTTTTATCATTTCTCCAGTTCCTGTCGAAAGGATTCGGTCTTATCACGTCATGTATCGCGATTATTATTATTATTATCATTAAAAAAAACAATTTTTACATACTTGATAATAATAATAACAATAATAATAATAATTTTGCGTTTTTCTTTTTCTCCACGGATATTTACGATCGTTTAAATTTTCTCCTTTGCCAAAATTATTATTATTATTTGCGGTGAGACGTCAGCTGTATAAGCGAGGTCAATAATCTCTAATAATGTGGAGACGTTTTACGGCCGTAAACGAATAATTTAATATACGTATAATTAAAAATTTCCAAAAAAAAAAAAAAAAAAGAAAAATTAATAACGATTCCCTTCGGCCATATTTGTTTTTTTAAAAAGTTTCGGAAAATTTTACGTCGAGCGAAATCTGGCGATCGTTTTTAAAAACTTTTAAAAGTGAAATGTTTTTAAATTTTTAACGATAGGTGGCGTAATCGAAAACGTAAACAACAACATAAAAAAACTTGTCCAAAAAAAATACAGTCTGGAATTATCTGGAATCATTAATTTATCATTTCCCCACTCGCGAAACAAAAATGACAAAATATCAAAAAAATTATTATTGTTGTTATTATTATTATTATTTGCTAGTTTTATGTCCCTTCCCTTCCCACTTCCCTCCCCCCTTCCCCCACGCTAAAAAAAAAAGAAATTAAACGAAGAAAACAAGATGGAGAAATTTTTTTTTTTTGATGACCTTAACCTAAACGACGATACTTTTATATGAAATTTCAAATCGCAAATTTTCAATTAAAAAAAAAAAAAAATCGCGTGAATATTATTATTATTATTACTACAATTTTTTTTTTTTTAATAACTTGAAGAAATATAAAAAAAAAAAAAGTCGAGAGAAATTTAAAAAAAAAAAAAAAGAAAGCATGAACGAACGAGAACTCTTAAACCTGATAACCTTATTTATTAAAATTAAAAATAATAATAATAATAATAAATAATTGACGTTAGTTTTTTTTTTTTTAATGATGTATATCATTATGGTTAATAATAATTCTTCAGAAAGCATGAAAAAAAAAAAAAATGAAAATGAAAACTGTAACGGAAAAAAAAATAAAAAGGATTCAAGTATTTTTTATTTACCTGAATTTTTGTTTTTGTTCTTCTTCTTTTCTATTCGCCAACCGACTTTCACTTTCACACGAATAATTTTTTTTTTTGTAAGATGACCCTTACGTGCGTATCGAATCCTAATCATTCATACGTCATTTAAAATGTTTTCCGCGTTAAAAAATTCGAAATGTAAAAAGAATTTGTTTTCATATGTTTCGATAACGGTTCAAATGGGTCAATTATGAAAACGAAAAAAAAAATTTTTCTTTTAAATTGCACTACGGATGATGCATTTGAAAATTTTTTTAGTTTTTTTAAATTGTTTCGGTTGAATTGACGGGACGTTTTGGTTGTTGTTTGTTTGTGTTTGTGTTTGTACGATTTGAATGACGGTGACAAACGGGGGGAAAATGTAGAGGGAAGAAATATTTCACAGGAAAAATTTCTCGTTATTATCGAATACGATGGATGAAATTTTCGAGTGTGTGAAATCAGGTAGGAAAAGTGAAAATTTTTAAATTACGTAATTTACCGTTCGCACTCGTTCGTTTTCCTCTCTCTCTCTTTCTCTCTCTTTCGTGACTGACATTGGGAAGGACGTTTGATAACCATTCAACAACATTCGTAAGCAGTCATTCTCTTATTCCACTTTTATTTGGAATGAGTTTCTGTATAAAAAACAGAACAACTACAACCGCAACGATCTCGAACAATCGCAAGAAAGTACATTTTAAAAAAAAAAAAAACTTTCTCGATGCAAAACCGATTGGAAAGTAATTTATTTATTTACTTACTTACTTATTATTATTATTATTATTATTATTATCATTATTATTATTGCGTTACGCACGTTGATTATTTGCGTGCAGTTTTAAATTGCGACGACGTTCACTCATCGTTTAATTTAAGTTTTTTTTTTTTTTCCATCAATGAAAAATTAAATGAATTTTTATCGATGACGTAGTATTTTATTACGTCATAATCCGACGATACTTTTTAGGAAAGATTGGGGGTGGAGCTGGGAGGGAGATAGAGGAGGAGGAGGGTTTCTCGTAGTAAAATTTTTTGATAAATACTCGAAAAAAAATTTAAAAACTTTCGATTTTCGTTTCATTTCATTTCATATTTTGCACGTTGTTATCGATCGATAAATTAATAAATTTCTAGAAAATTCTACGATATAAGATAATAATGGAGAACGTGGAAAAAAAAAAAAATTTTCTCAGCACGTACATATACAAAAATTAGTCAAAAAAAAAAAAAACTTTCCAAAAATAAGTTAGAAAACGTTTCAATTAACCGTCAAAATAATTATCATTATCATCATTATCGTTATCGTTATTATTATTATTATTAATTTGTAAACGTGATGACATAGTCAAAAACCGGAAAATTTTAATGAGGGTGTTTAAAATTGTTTGTATCACCACCACCACCAGACGACTTTTACTTAGATTTATAAATATAACGAGTTTGTGAAAAAAAAAAAATTATTATTTTTTTTTTTTAAAACCAATTCAAGTTGACCGTGATATCGAGTTGTTTGTTGGTTTGTGGTTGTTGTTGTTGTTGTTGTATACGCCAACCAACATTTCGTTAAGGTCGAAGATTTGATCAGTTAGTTTTGATTAGAATCGCGTGGAACAAGTTTTATACGATTCGAATCGTATTTTTTTTTTTTTTTTACGCACGAATGTTTATATTTTAAAATTTTTTTTGCGTGCGTTCGTGCGTGCGTGTCCTGTATATATACGTGCGAACGTTTTAAATTTTTCCGTTACGAACGCGTTCGAATAATTAAACAAAAAAAAATATAAAAAAAATTCGTGAGGTAAAAACAATATGGAAACGATTAGGAATCGATTAGTGGACGTTCGTCGTAAGTATTACGAATTGACGAGGAAGGGAGGAAGGGGAGAGGGATGAGGGGAAGGATTTTTCACGAACGAATAAAAATATAATTTTTTCTATAAAATTCCAGAAGAAAGATCGGAAGAGGAGAAAAACATTGAAAATCAAATAATTTTATTGAAAAAAGATGGAGACGAACCGAATTTAAATGACGGTAAAGCTTTAGAAGATTTACCCGATTGGTTCGACGAAGAAAAATTTAAAAGGTTGGCATAAAAAAAAATCGATAATAATAATAATAATAGAAAAAACGTCACATCCGGTTTTTTCTTGTTTTTCTTTCCAGGGGTCAAGAATTTTTCAAATTAAATTATTTTTCACTTTTCGTATCGAAATTATCGGGTTTGCTCGTCATACTATCAATACCGAGAGTATTGAAAATATTAACGATGACGGAAAAATCCGCGACACCCGAACTCGCTTTCAAAAGATACCTGAATACGTTAAGGCACATGCTCATGTGGTACAACGGAAACGTTTTGGATAAAGAATCCTGGTGCGTTAATAATATAAATAGTGAGAGTGAATAGAAAAAAAAAGAAGTGGTAAAAGAATTTTCTTTCTCTCTCTCGCAGGGCTTACAAATCGTTAAAATTAGTACATGCCAAACACACGGCTGCCAACAGGAGAGGAATGACGAAAAATATCGGATCTCTTTCGCAAAGTTCACTCGCGATAACTCAATTCGGTTTCATGGGTTTCGGTCTTTTGATGCCGGAAAAATTGGGTGTCGTTGTGAGAGATGAAAAAGACATGGAAGGTTTCATACATTTTTGGAGAGTCATAGGATATCTTTTGGGAGTTGACGAAGAGTGAGTTTTCCTGTATTTCCGGTACGGTAAAAAACACTTTGCCAAAAGAAAAAAAATGGCGGTAAATATTAAAATAATTTGACAAGGTCGTGTGTGTGAAACCATCGCAGAATACGAAAAGAAAGAAAAAATGGCGGAAACCACTTATTGAAATACTCACAAGGTTTCGACGAGAGTTGTTGTGTAATGACGTCACGATCGAAGAAATCTTTTATTTTTTAAATTTGTTTTCAGGCATAATATTTGCAACGGAACCGTCGAGGAAACCAAAGAAACTTGTAAAAGACTTTTAGAAGAGATTTTATGGCCGCATTTGAAGGCACCATCGAAAGAATTCATAGACATGACGAGGACGGTCATTAACGGAATGTGGGCGATGGTGCCATTTTTAGATTTCGAAGGTTTCATGGCTTTCACTTACGATTTATCCAATTTGAACGTGTCGCCGTTCACGAATATATGGAGTCAAACGATTTACAATTTTCAAAAATTCGTACACCAGGTGAGGGATGAGTTTATTTTCTTGCTCCCCCGCCCCCGCCCTCCCCTTCACCCTCCTCCCTCGATTTTAATTTTTTTTCTTTAATTTCCAGAGACTCAGAGATAAAATATTTGGAAATCTCTGGAGGATTTTTTTCAATTTTCAAATGTGGCTTTCGGTTGTTTTGTCATCGAGATTTCCATTATTCGCTTATATAAGTTTCGGTTCTATGAAATCCTCACACGTGGAAATGTATTAATGACGTCATAACCTCTATCTGTCTCTCTCTCGCTCACACACACGCTGGTATTTATATTACTTATTTATTTATTATTCCTAATTCGTACCAAAAAAAAAAAAAAAAAAAAAAAATTACATTTTTTTATTTTTATAACGTTGAGAATGTTTCGTTTGTTTGTTTGTTTGCTTGTTCGTTTGTTCGCTCGTTTGTTCCCTCGTTTGCTTGCATGTGTTTCCTGTTTTTTTTTTTTTTATTGTTTTTGTTGATTTTGTTGTTTTCGTTTGATTTTTATTTTTATATATATTTTTTAATAAATAAATAAATCGATTAATTAAAAACTGATGATAATAATAAAAATAATTTTTTTTTTCGACACGAATGTTTAAAAAAAAAATCCATAAAATGAAAACGATTGAGTTTCGATCGATAATCGATTAATCGATTTATTGATTTTTTTTTTTTTGCAACAAAAAAAATTTTCAATATTTTTTTTTAAAAAAAAAAAATTTTCGAAATTGTTTCAATTCGAGGAAAGGAGAAATTTTGAAGAAAAAAAATTATAAAAGTGGGAGAATTGATCGATGTATCGATATTCTATTAATCGATCGATTTATTGATTTTTTCTTTTTAATGAAAATAAATTTTTTTTTTTGTAAACTTGTCGGAACGCGAAGTGAAAATTTTTTTTTTTTTTAAATTTTTTTTGTCGCGTATTGTAATTTATCGATCGATTAATCGATTTATTGATTCCCCTCCACCCTCCTCCGACGGTTTAAAAAAAAAACTTTCATGACTTTATTAAAAATGAAAAAAAAAAACTTAAAAGTTTTTTTCTTCATATTAGAAATGTGCGAGTATCGATGAATCGATGTATCGATCGATCGATAATCGATTTATTGATTTATTTTTTTACGATTGAACAAATATTCAAATTTTTTAAATAATTAAATAATTAAAAAAGAAGAGGGAGAAAAAATAAAAACGATCGATGGATCGATCGATCGATCGATCCGTCGATCGATTTTTTATTTTTTCTTTTCTTTTTATCAATTCAACTTGTCGGTACTGAAAAGAAAAAGACGATTTTCCAAGGTTTTGGTTTTTTGTTTTTTTTTTTCTTCTTTCGTTTTTTTTTTTTTGTATTCATTTGTAAATAAATAAAAAAAAAAAAAAAACGGCACATCATTTATTATTAAAATTAATTTATTTACAATATGGCGGTGAAAAAAAAATGGAGGATATTTGTAAAATTACTTTTAAAAGGTTTATTCATTTTTTAAATATTTGTTATTATTAAACGTTGAAATGTTTTACAGCAGATGAAAAGAAAAGAAAATTTCAGGTGATGTTTATTATTTAAAACCGAGTGAAATAATTTAACGTTTTCAAAACCGGGAAAAAAAAAAAGTAGAAAAGAAAAAAAAAAGGAAAGAAAAAAAAAAGTGAAAAAAAAGTGAAAATATATTTTTTTTTTTTTTTTTTTTGCCGCCCCCTCCGTGAAACGCGGTCGCGTACTACGTTTTTGTGTGTTTCTTTTTTTGTTTTTGTTTTTATTTATTTATTTACTAGTATTAATTACTAAATTAAAGAAATAATTAATATCGGGGGACAAGAAAGAAAAGTTTTAAGTAATTAATAAACGTCGTCATCATTATTATAATAATAATTATTATTATTATTGTTGTTTATTTTTTATTCTTATCAACAATATATAGTCAGGAATAATGCGGCATGGAAGAACTGACAGAATCTGCACGCCAGTGTTTGGTGTCGCAGGGTATCATCATAGGAACACTTTCCGTTTTAAATTCCTTATGTATTTTTTTAAAAGGTGTTGTTGTGATAACTCGAGCGAACGACCTTCTTCATTTTACTTCTCTCACATATTTAGCAATTTTAGAAATAGGTACGTTCACACATCTACCCATCCATCCATCCACCCACCCACCCATTCATACACACGCACGCATACTTGTGACGTTTTCGTCACGTGTCCACTCACTCATAACACTCGATATACCTTATTTTCCTTATTTTTCTCCAAATTTTTATAAATAAATAAATAAATAAAAGTAAAACAAAAAAAAAAAAAAATGGATTTTAGTTTGTGGTGTAGGAACTCTAGTGACAGTAACTTATGTCTGGTGGATAATTGCCGGCTACAGAAACAGACAGTTAGAAATACGATCAAAATATTTAGATGAAAGTTTATCAAAAGGACTAGTTGCTCTTATTTTACCTATATTCGTCGGTTTTTCTGCGTTCATCGTAAGTGCTGTTTTCATGCTACTCAAGGTAAACAAAAAGAAGGAAATTCTTGAATTTTTTTTTTTTTCGAATTTGGTATCATTTTAAACGATTATTAAACGGTCGATTGATTTTTTTTTTTTAGACTGAGACCAGCAGCACGTACGATTTAAAAAGTGCCATGGCGTCTTATTCGACCGACGTAACAAGAAAAATGATATTAGATAAATTACAAATGCTTTTAGAATGTTGCGGAAGTCAATCACTTTTAGATTGGTTTATGGTCGATTGGCAAAATTCTGACGTCGAACCTGGAAGACATTTGGGAAAGTTCGTAGGATACCCATAAATGAAATTATCTTACGATTATGATTATTATTATTAATATTTTTGGGTTTTTTTCTTAATAGTTTTTCGTATTCCGATTGGGATTCCGTACCTTTTAGTTGCTGTTGTCCTGATGCTCCACCTCCTTGCATACACCATCAATTGAGAATATTCGGAGTAGGTTCGATATATTCATCTGGATGTGCTGATAAATTAGACGAAGTCGTTTTTTTATTTGTTACTGTTGCCATGATTATGTTATTCACATCAACTTTGTTAATGGTACGTCGATTTTTATTATTTTTTTTTTTTTTAAAAGGAAAAAAATTTCCTAATGTTCTCTGGTTCCACGTAAAAGTTTTTTATGTGTGTAAAACGAAAAAAACATGTTTTTATAGATTTTATTATTGTATATATCAAGAAAACTTCAAACGTCAGCGAGATCAGCATTTCAAAAAGGTGATTCTACAGCTCCCGGAGTTTGGTGGATAATAGCACCCGCAAATTGTACTACTGGTGGTGGTGGTGCTGCCGGTGCCTCAAGGGAAGCATCCGATCAAACTCCTTTGTTAGGTTCGTTTTATTAAATTTTTATTTATTTATTTATTTATTTATTTTTTTTTGTTTTTTTCGATGGATTTTGTATTTTTTGTTCTTTTTTTTTTTAACAATTGCAGACAGAATGAGAAATTCAAAAATATTAAATAGTCGCGAATCCGTTTTACCGGAACAAGATTACTGGTATAAACAAAGTAAAGTTATCATGAGTCCAGTCGTCGTGTCTCAAAATAGGAAACATTTGTGAGTTTAAATTATATTTTACACTTTATTTTAAATCCTTTTCCCCTCTCCCCTAACTCACTCTTTATTCCCCTGATTTCCTTCCCCCACCATATCATTTTCCCCACACCAGTTTCAGTTTCTCATTCGTTTCTTCCCTCCCACCAATTTTTTTTTTCTTTTGACTCCGCCCATCACTACATTTTCTTCATATCTTCCCCCCACCACTACATTTCCTCTTTTCTTTCCCAACCATCTCATTTTCTTACACCCCCCACTACATTTTCTCCTTTTGTCTCTCCCACCATTTCATTTTCTTCCCCTACACCGCTTCATTTTCACCTTTGCTTTTTTCCTCACACCACTTTTTTTTTCTTTTGTCTCCGCCCACCACTACATTTTCTTCGTTTTCTTCCCCCCACCGTCTCATTTTCCCCACTTCAGCCACTTTTCAAACACTTCATTTTCTCCTTTGTTTCTTTTCCACACCATTGGTCCACTTCATTTCCCCTTTTTTCCTGTCCCCCACACCATTTCACTTTCCCTTTTTGCTTTTTCCCACCATTCCATGCCTCCCTCTCATCCCCCTTACTCGAGCGACACAACACCGATTATTAATTAATAAAATTTTCTCTTTCTCTCTCTACATAAATTTTTAGTAAAAATGTAGAAAGCGATGGGGGCAACACTTTTGTAAGCGATAAAAAATTTCGTCGGGGCGGTGCAGAATCAAGCGAAGGATGGACAAGGAGAGCATACGACGCATCCGGTTCGACTTCAACCACGTCATTTATGACAACGTCACTTCCTGTTAATTCGACGCCGGGTAAATATTTCAAAGGATAAAAAAATTTTCAATTTTTTTTTTTTTTTTTTTTCTCCTATAAAACGTTTTCTCTCTCTCTATCTATCTCTATCTATCTCTCTCTCTTTTTTTCTTCATTCATTTGAATTTAAAAACAAAAAAAAAAAAAAAAAAAAAAATTTGATTAAAAATTTTAAATTTTCGTTTTTTTTTTTTTTGTTTTTGTTTTTCGTAAATTTTTTTTTTTTTCTTTTTTTTTTTCTCTTCCGTTTCCTGTTTAGAATCGAGACGTTCGGTATCGGATACGGCTGTTGCCAATTTAGAAGTGTCGCAACATTACGAACATAAAATACGGCCTTTATATAGAACTTGAAAAAAAAATTAAAAATATTTATTTCAGTGATTTCGAGTTTGTTTTTAATTCTTTTGTCCACGATAGAAAAATGTTTATTTTATTATCATTATTTTTTTCAGTAGGAGTGGGGAAGGGAAGGGACATAAAAATAGCAAATAATAATAATAATAATAATAATAATAACAACAACAATAATAATTTTTTTTTTGTGTGTGTGAAAAAAAAAAATATTTAAAACGTTTTTATTTATTCGTTTAAACAAAAATAGATGTGTACAAATTATGTGCGCGCCATTTTTCGCCCCCCTCGCCCCCCGCGTTCGTTTTTTCACTAAAGTTTTGCTTCTCCGGCTTTTTGTTTTTTTTTATAAACTTGAAGTGTTTTCGCGTCTGTGAATCTTTTGACACGTTTTCCATAGAGCATTCTGTCTTTGAATGTCGTCGCGTCGTGTTTTCCATACGGTCGAAACTTGTCTAAAAGTCCGACGGAAAATTTCGTGGAACCAGGAGCGTTCAATGGTATGTATTCGTCATTATTATCATCATCATCATCACCATCATCCACATCGCATGTCCGACCCGCCATTTTATCACCAGACGACGGAAACAACGAATTTTCTTTTGAACGTCTTTTTCTTTTTTCCCTTTTTTTTTTTTTATTCTTCGATTCCGACGATCGTCCGACTGAAGACATTTGAAAAAACGGTGACGACGTTTTCGTTTGATCCGCCATTTCTCCTTCTCCCTGTAAAACGTTAAACATTTTCTTTTTTGAAATTTCATTCCATTCCGAGAAAATTTCTCGTTTGTTTTATCCTTTCTTACCTTTTTATTCTGTTTGTTGTTATTTTTTTTCTTTTTCAAATTTTTCTTCTTCTTCTTATTCCTTTCCGGTTTTAAAAACATTTCGAACTTTTCCTCCGATTTTCTCACCTGTAATAATAAATAAAAATAACGGTTAGAAAATTTCTAGTTATAAAATTTCCCGATAGAAGTCGTTCTCTCTCTATTTTTTTAATGGCGGCGACACTCGCGTTGGTGACGTCAATCATTCGTTTCGTTACCCTTTTCCCTTTTGAATGATTCATCGTCACTTCCGGTGATGGCGATGGACATTTCCTTTTGATGATAATTTCCCTGGAAAATTTCTCTTTCTCATCCTCATATTTTTCCACGATTTTATTCGCGTTTACATTTTTTTTCCCGATTTTTAAATTCGTCGTCGTCGTTTTCGAACCTGAAATTTTTCTTTTCGATTAAAAAAATGTTGGAGCCGTTCGCCATTTTTTTTTTTGCATTTCCTTCTCGTAAAAATTACCTGGACTGGGATTTTTGTCGTCGATTTTTCCTGTTAATTTTTCAAATGTTGGTATTTTTGACGTCACCGCGTCTTCCTCATCGATCATTTCCTTTTTTAGCTTTTCATTGCTTTTCTCACTTTCGGCGTTTCCGTCGCCATTTTTATTTTTTATTTTTTTCGACATTTCTTCTTCGTCGTTCCTTCTGCTGTTGTCTTCAATTGTTGTTTCCGCCGTGACTTTCTTTTTATTTCCATTTTTTGGTTTTTCCTCTGCGTCGTCTGCATCGCTTTGACCATTTTCATTTGTGTCCTCTTTTGTTGAGTCGCCGTCGCCGCTTACGACCATTTCCGACATCTTTTCCTCTTCATTCTCCTCATCAATTTTCGTCCTTTGTTTTTTTGATTCCTCCTCATCGCTCTCACTTTCACTCTTTTTTTCAATCGCGTTTTCTTTCCTGTTCTCATCATCATCGCTGCTGCTGCTGCTGCTATCGCTCTCGTTCTCGATTCTTTGCGATGTGATTTTTTTTTTCCTCGTGAAAATTTTCTTCTTAATTTTTCTTTTCTTTTCTCTCGGTTCTTCCGCGTCGCTTTCACTTTCACTCGGTTTATATCCGTCTTTAAACTCTTCTTCTGATCCGTCGCTGTCGTTTTCAATCGTTTCCGTCGCTTGCTTAGATTTGTCACCTTCTCCGTCCCTGTCGCTTTCGATTGTTTCCGTCGACATTTCTTTTTTTTTCATTACTTCTAGTTTCCCTTCACTCGCACCGCCGGATTTCTTTTCCGAATCGCTGTCCTTCTCTTTCGTATTATTCTCGTCGTTTTTTTTCCCATCACTTTCACTCTTTTCATCTTTTGAGTCATCATCGCTATTGCTTTCGCTTTCAATTCTTTCCAACGTTACGTCTTTCGACTCTTCTTTATCGCCTTTACTTATATCATCACCGTCTGTACGTTTTTCTTCCGAGTCGCTGACGATGACGTCATTTTTTTCGTTTTTCCCTTCTCTATTTCCCTGTTTCTCATCACTAGTATTATTAATCAATTCTTTTTCATCGACACCGTCTACGTCGCTCCTACTCGTCTCTCTAATTATTTTACAATTATTATCATTATTTTTAACAACCTTTTGTCTACTGCTAAAATCGATATTAGGTCTTTTGTCGTTCAAAAACATTTTTTCTATGTAATCCTCGCTACTGTTCGTTTCTTCATCGCTGTTGTCACTTTTTCCGGTATCGTTTTTCGCGCTTTCCTTAAAGGTTTCTACGTTTTCGACTTTGGGTTCCTCGTTTACATTTTCGTCTGAACTTTCGTTGCTTTTATCGTTATCACTACCGTCATCGCTACATTTGTCATCATCGGAATCGAGAATTTTGTATCGTTTTTTCAAAGTATTAAATTTATTCAATATTTCCGTGAAATTCATGTTTTGTGCCACGGACGTTAATTTGACCAAATCCGTGCTTCCGTTTCCTCTTTCTCCTCCTTCCCCTCCTTCACCACCTTTTACCCCGCTCAATATTTTATAATTTTTTTTTTTTTTTTTCACTCTCGAAATTTGTTTTTCCCAATTCATGTTTTTTATTTCAGGCGACGAATTCACGTTTCCCTTTTGTTTTTCATTCATTACGTCACAAAACGTTTCAACATCCGAATCATCATAATTTTTTTCACGATGACGTGACGATGACTCGGATTCAGAATCGTATTCTTTTTGTAAATTATTTTTTCCCGTTATTTTTTTCCCGGTTGAACTATTCCCTTTAAATTTCCTTCCTTTTTCCGTTTTCCGCCGGTTCGGAGAAACGGATCGTAACGTTTTTGTCGACATTCCGCCATGTTTTATTTTCGCGGGACTGTCATCGTTTATTTGAAATTTTTCCGTTAGATTTTTGTCGCTCATAACGTCATCTAAAACGACGACGGCATTTTTCAATTGAAAAAATTCTTTTTTTTCTCTCCCCACCGATAAATTATTTGAATAAAAAATTTTATTTTTATGAGATTTTTGTACTGAATCCTCCCGTTCGCAAACATCGGCAGCCATGTTTATTTGACTACTACTACTACTACTATTAGTACTACTATTATTATTACTAACATTACTATTATCACAAATTAAATTATTCTCATTTGAAACCGATGATGTATTTTGACTTAAACCTAAAATACAATCAATCAATCAATCAATCAGCCATTTTATTTATTATTATTATTATTATTACAAACAAATTGAAATTCACCTTCATTTTTGTTTTCTATTATGCTATTATTTACATTTCGATAACTACAATTTACTAAATCGTTTAAATTTTCCGAATGTGATTCATTATGTACATCATTATCATCATTACTATTATTATTACTGTTACTATTTCCTTTGCTAAAGTTATCATTATCATCATCATCATCTAAATTAATGATTTCGATTTCACTTTCATTTAATTTTTTATTTTTTTTTGCTTCATCTATAAATAATAAAATTATTATCCATTTTAAAAAAAGGAAAAAGTCTTTTTAACGATGACATGATTATTATTATTATTATTACTTTATAATTCATTTTCTTACCCCTTAATTTTCTATAATCATTTCTAAATTGTGTTTCGAGTAAGTTTATATTTTTATTATTTAAATCGGAGTCGTTTGAAACATTTATTAAATCGTTATCACAATTGTTAATAATTTTTCTCTTGTAAGTTTGACTAGGACTTAATATATTTTTTAATCTATTGTTAGAATCTTGTAAATGTAAATGAATTATGGGTTGAATTTTTGATGGTAGAGATGAATCACCATTCGGTGAATGTAAATGTATGTGAACATTAACAATCGGTGATTGAGATCCCACATTTATGCTATGATGGCCTTCTTCATGTGTTTTTTTTTTCAATGGTGTTTTAACATTTCTTTGCCTTTTAAAATCCTTTGTACTTTTCGGAGTTGTTTCGACACCATCAGTATCATTTTTTTCATTTTCATCTCCTTCGTCACATGCATATTTTTTCGGAGTGCTTCTCAAAATCATTTTTAAATTGTATATAGTTATTTACTTAATAAATAATTGTGAATCCCTTAATTAAACATAATTTATAAATAAATCATATAATCAAAAATTTAAAAAAAATTCTGAAATAAAAAATACTCATAAATCATATCATTTGGAAAATACAATTGCTAAATTATTTTATAAAATTATTGCAAATTTTAATTAAAAAGCTATAAAATGTTACTGCCATTAAAAATAAACTCTAATGAATTCATTATTATTATTATTATTACACGTATAATAAAAACATTATTGATTAATAAAATAAAATAGTTGAAAAATTAGGGAGAAGATGCTATAGGATATTCATAACCAAATCAGGTTATGTATCACGTTTTAATTCTAAAAATTAAATGTGGAAATTTGAGAGCGTGTAGTGAAATTAAACTGACCTTTTTAAAATTTTTAATTTAAAAAAAATAATAATTAATTAAACGTCGTTTATTGAAAACAAATCATTAACAAATAATAGCAATGTTAAATATAAAAAAATATATTTAAGAATAACTTGCTTTCCATAACATGCACACTAGCGCCACGTTATTTTCGTTTTTTCAACTTGGCAACACTGTATATTCCCGCGTTTTATAGTTTCAATCGTGGTTTTGACATTTTGTCATCGAAGAGTGAAAGAAAAGTGTTTTCTCGTGAAAATTTGTTAATTTTGAAAGTTAATTTTAGTTTTAAAACATAAAAAATAACGAAATGTATTCGTGTGATTTATTAAATTCAAAAAAAGAAAATGGCGAATTAAAAACTAATCGGATAAATGACATGATGGTGATGAAATATTTTCTAACCTCACCTGGTCGGAAAAAAGGTAAGATTTTGTAATAATATTTATAAATGGTTTTAAATTTTAATTTTAATTAACGAAAGTGAATTAATAATTAAAAGAAATTAAAATTTTATATAAAAGGTATATTGATAATTATTTGAATGAAACGTATTTCAAAACGGTTTCCGTGGTAACCCCCCCGAAAAAAAAAAAGAAAAGAAAAAAGGAAAAAACGTACGCCATTAATAGATGGCAACACAAACGAAATTTTATAAAGAACGTCATGAAAATATTTTTTATTAGTTGTGTGCGATTCACTGTCGACTTTAAAAGGAATTTTTTTTCCTTGTTTTAAATTCTAAATCGTTTGTATTATATTTTTCCGTTAACAAAACACAAAATCATTCGCGTTGTATTTAACGTACGAATTAAATAAATTATTATTATTATTATTTTCACATCGTAAACGTTTCGAACTGCAAGAATTTTTTTTTTTTTTTTGGTTTATATTTGGCCAATATTTAAAAAAATCGTATTTAAAAAAAAAAAAAAAAAAAAAAAAGGAAGAAAAAAAAAGTTATTAAATATCTTCGTTGAAAGTTTTTATTTATTTTATGTGACAAACTTTAAAAAAAAAAAAGTTTTCAAAGAAAAGATGATGTTGGATCTACTTGGTAATTTTCTTACAAAGATTTTTTTTTTTTATATAACACAAGTTCCGAATTTTAAATTTTATTTATTTTTGTTTATCATCACCATCATCATAATCATCATCGTCATCATCATCATTATTATTATTATTATTAAAGTTGTTATTTTCTCTGTGAATATAAGACGAGTTGAACGTTTGTTTTTTTTTATTTTTTATTTTATTTTTTTTGTCTTTAACGTGGTTTTCCCATCGGGTTTTTTTTTTCTTTTTTCCTTTTTTATTTGTAAATTTTTTTAAAATTGTTTTTTTTTTCTTTTTTTTCGTTGCATAGTTTTTAGAATTTTTTTTTTTTTTTTGAAATGATGTTGACAATGAGGGAAAGAGAATGAATGCAATTTATTTATTTATTTCTTTTGTCTGCAAAGTTCACATGGATTATGCCTTCCTTTCGTTCGGGGATGAAGAAATTTTACTGCCACGTTTTTTTAAATTTACGAAGTATGAAAAAATTGTGTTTGATTGGTTGTAATTGTTGTTGTTGTTGCTAAATGTTTAAAAACCGTTACGAGTAAGAGAGAAAGTGTGTGACTGTGACAGAGAAAGAGTGTAAGAGGGTGAGAAAAAAGAGAGAGAGAGAGAGAAAGGAAGAGAGACAGAGATAAAGACAGATCACAGAAAGAGAATTAAAGAAAGAAAGACAGAAAAAGAATGAAAGAAATAGAGAGAGAGAAAGAAAGAATGAAAGAGAATGAAAAAGAGAGAGAATGAAAGAGAGAGAGAATGAAAATAGGAAAGAATGAAAGAGAGAGAGAGAGAGAGCGATTGAAAGAGAGGGAAAGAAAAAGAGAGAAAGACTAAGAGAGACAATAGAGAAACAAAAGGAAACAGAATACAGAAAGAGAGAGAAAGATCTCAGAGAGAAAATTAAAGAGAGAGAGAGAGAGAAAAGTAAAAAAAAAAAGAAGGATTTATTATTGATTCGTGTTAGTTAATTTGTAACGAATGCATTTTCATTTTTTTTCCTTCTACCGCCATTTATTATTTAAGTTAATACCTGAGAAAGGTAAGAAAAAAAAAAAATTATTTTCGCTTTCCTTATAATTAGCTTTTCTTCTTCCTCTCTCTCTCTCTCTCTCTCTCTCTCTCTCTTTAGTCTTCTCCTCTCTCTCATTTTTTTTTTTATTATTATTTTATTTTCGTAATGAATAATAATTAAATTTTAAAATTATTATTATTATTATTATTATATTTTTACCGTGGCAGGAAAAGTAGTAAAATAAAATAAAATTTAAAAAAAATTTTCTTTTTTTTTTACGAAAGTCATTATCCCCTTTTTTTTTCTTTTTTTATTTTTTTTTTAACCGGAGGGTTCGGTTGGTTAACGAAAATAAGAAAAAAGAATAAGATGATGATGATGATGATGATGATGATATTAAAAACTATGAAAATGCATATTTACCCTTTTATAGACTTTGATAATTTATCGTACATTAACGGTAAAGAATATGGCGTTTCCAACAGGTGGAAGATTATATTAGAAGAACAAGTAGAAGAAGAATGAAAAAAAAAAAAGAAATTTTTTCTTACCGTTTTTTTGGGGGGAGAGGGAGGGGAAAGGTTTTCTCATTAAAATCTTTCTGGTTTTTTTTTTGATTTCGTTTGCATGCTCTTTTGTGTTTCCCCCTTGTTACCCCCAACATTTTTTCCTTCTTATCAAATCATTTTTTCTTAAAAAATTAATTAATTGATTCTCACGAATTTTTCTTACATCGATTTACAAAAAAAATATTTCTTTTCATCCTCTCTCCTCTCTCCCCTCTCTCTCTCTCTTGATTTTTTTCCTCTTTCAGTCTCTGTTTTTTTCTTTCCCTTCCTATCTCCTTTTCTGGCTCTCTCTGTCTCTCATTTTGTCTCATTTTCTCTATTCCTCTTTCTGTCTTTCTCTCATTCTGTTTCATTCTCTCTCTCATTCTGTCTTATTCTCTCTCTCTCTCTCTCTCATTTTGTTTCTCATTCCGTCTCTTTTTCTCTCATTTTATATTTTTTAATTTGTCTCTGCCTCTGTCTCTCATTTTCTGTTCCTCTCTCCCCTTCTTTCATTTTGTATCTCTTTTTGTCTTTTTCTCTCATTTTCTCTCTCTCTCTCTCTCTCGTCAATCATATTCGTACGCCATAATGTTAATAATAATAATGATAATTCTAGTCGATTTACCCAGAAAGAAAGAAAAAAAAAACAAGAAAAGAAAGGAAAAACATTTTTTTCTTTACGAATTTTTTTTTTTTTTTTTTTTAATTTTAAACAACAACAACCGCAGCAAAAAAATTTTTGTTTGTTTCTTTCCCCCCCCCCTTTCCTCACCACCCTTTAAAAATTTGAAACTCGTTAAATACGCGATGATTTATTACATAGCTTTAAAAAAAGAAAAAAAAAGAAAAAAGAAAAAAAATTTTTTTCCCTTACTTTGATACTAATGAAAAAAAATAATGATAAATTTTTTTATTTTTTTAACGTCATTTATATTAATAACAATAACAGTAATAATAATAATAATAATAATAATAATCGCGGTTATTGTTTCTTCTGCTATAAAGTTCGACATTTATATATATATATATATATATATATATATATATATATATATATATATATATATATATATTTACTTATTTATTTATTTGTATATAATTTTTGATTTTGAAGTCGTTTTCCCAACGGAATAACTATTTACAAGTTTTAATTAAATTTCTCTTTCTCTCTATTTTATTTCTCTTTCTCTCTCTCTCTCTCTCTCTCAGTCATTTCTTACTTTTTCCTTTATTCTTAACTTCCTTCCTTTCTTCCTTTCTTCCTTTCTTCCTTTCTTCCTTTCTTCCTACATTTTTGTCTATACCCCCGATGCGAATTTATTTAATTATTTATTTCCATTTAATAAAAAGAAAAAAACAAAGAAAAAAAAGAAAATTTGACACGTTTTCTATCACGACGCCCGATGATTTATTACGAAAGTTAACACAGTAAATATATGAATTATGGTTTACGTCGTCGATTTGATTCAATTTAATTTAATTTTTCTTTTTTTTTTTCCTTTTCTTTTATACATTGTATGTTCGACGCGCGTGACGTCACTTCCTTTATCGAAAATAAAAAAAAAAAAATTTTCCCACGATAAATTATGTAATATTTTCCAGGTATTCGTTTTTCTTTTTAAATTTATTTACCCCCGATTTCGAATCGTTATCGTTATTTTCTATTTTCTTCTTATCTTTCCCCGCCCGTCGTTTTCTCTTGCCACGTTTCCCCCCCCCTCCTCTCCTCCCTCGAATTTTGTCTGGAAAAGAAAATATGGGTTTTCCTTTGAAAACTCACCTTGTTAATTTTTCATTACGAAACGTATTATTATTATCGTTATTGTCCTCATCATCATCATCATCATTATTATTATTATTATCATTATCATTATTATTATTGTTATTATTTACGTTAAACGTTGTTTTCCTCGGAGTTACTTTTAAAAATAAATAAAATATAAAGGGAAAACGTTTTCGAAA